TTTTTTTTTTTTTTTTGCTTATTTTATTCTTTTGGGTTAAAGATAATCGTATTTTAATATGGGAGTGCTATCAGCAGACATCCCTCCAAAATAGGCTGCTTTGGCATCAGGCTTGTTTTGAACTTAAAGGTAATTGAGAACCAAGAGATTCAGGGAGGCTTTGCTGCCCCTTCTCTGCTTACAACCTGGGCGCAAACCTCCCTTTGTGGAAGTGGCTTCCTTTCTTGGACCAGGAAGACAACAGCCACTTCTACTGCTGGGCACAGTTGGCACTGAGATGGGTCTGCATAATCCAGTCATAAATAGATGTCCCTGCCATCGCTTCCCTCCTCTGTTTCCTGGTCACTTCCCCGTTTATCTCTGACTGCAAAACCCTCTTTCCTTTGTTAAAATGTTGCCTAAATCTCCATGTCCAAATGCTTTGAGTTTCATTTTTCTATGAATTCCTGTGCATGCAAAATATTAATGAGATTTGTATTTCTTGTTCTGTTCATCTGCCGTAGTATCTACTACAAAGGGGGCATTGTCTGAACCCAAGAGTTGTAGACCTTACTGGGCAAACACAGCGAGATCCTATCTCAGTAACAACTAAGTAGGTGGTTGACTAGATAACTAAATTCACAAGCCCTGGGTACTCAGTCTAGGAGGATGAATATATGAAAGGTTTTCCTTCCTGGTCACTTACAGTATGAATCGTGGCATGGGGTCTGGTGATGAGAGTGGGTATAGGTGGGTGAAGTGCATCAAGGGTCAGTTATGTTTCTCCCTCTCATTCCTATGTTCTGGTTCCTCTAAACTTTTATGCTGATATTATTTATTTAGGATGTAAATTGCTGAGCTGTTTCAAAGTCCCAGGAAGAAAGGAACCTTGGGAGACTTGCATAGGCACATGGGTATTTGCCTCACACCCTTAGACAGACAGGGAGCTGTCTGGGCACCAGATGGAGGTGCCACTTCCTCATCAACTCTTCTTGTCCCGGTTACTCCCCAGATGTCTAATGGGCTGCACCCTGAAGATGGCCCTGTTTATAATAATCAGAGCTACTGGTGGGTGGGCAAACCCATAACTCTAAGGACAGTCATGGCTCACTAATTATTGTGCCAGCTTAGAAGTTAGCAAAAGAAAGGGTTTTGCAGTTAAAACAAGATGGGTATGTCCCTGGATCTCAAACTCTGGTTAATTAAGTTGAGGCCACCTAATTGGCTATCCTGTTCTTGTCTGGGGGCAAGGAAAGGAATTAGCAACTCACTACTAGAGGGGCAGTAATTTACCCCAGAAAAGACAGCTACTAGGTGTCACAGCCGGCAAGCCTTGAGGCCAATTTGGAGTGTCGTCTTCTGCTCTCCCTGCCAGTTCTGACCTTTCTTTCAACTTGGAAGGCTATATTTTTGTATTCCTGAATGACATCTTCACGGCTGCGAATGGAGTTTACACCAAACAGAAAATGGACCCTAAGGTACCAGATCTTCCCTCCTGTGGCTTTTCAGCTATGCCATCTGGCTCCCGAAATGACATGAAAAATGAAAATGAACATGTGCAATTGGCATGTGATTTAACTCATGTCATATGATTTATCATTTCTAATTTCTTTTTAATTATTTTGTCTATGCAAGACCTTGTTAATCCTAGTATTGCAAAAGTTTGAGTTAAAACTGGACAGGGAAGGAAAAGATGCCACCATTTTAGATGTACAATTAGGATATATATGTACACATTTTGAAAAGCAAATTTATCTTTTTTAAACTAGCATCATTAGTGATCATGGCAAATTTGGGTGTTTGTTAAGATATTAGCTCCAAGGGCACTTGTCTCCAGACCCAAGTTTTGCTATTCACTGGCCATCGTGTCTTTGAACCTTTATTTCCCCAAACCTCAGTTTCCCCATTGTGAAGTGAGATGGCCCGACATCATTTGTCAGGTCTTCCAGCGGTAGCCACTTCTGATCACAAGCTGTTGGGACTTCCTGTCATGCAGAGGCCCCCAACCCCAGCTGTTATGAGAAGCTTTCGGAGATGAGCCAGACATATGGGTCTTTGTTCTTTGAGCTCTTTGTGCTTTGTGAGGGAGCTCCCCCTCACTGATGGGTGTGTTTCATGAGCCCCCCCCACTTTTTTTTTTTGAATCTGCATGCTTATTTATTTCTTTGAGTGGTGACAGTTTTACAAAAACAGGTTTGTTGTTGCCTTTTTTGAAAAATCACAATATGTCACCCTTTTTTGGTGGAGAAGTGGGTGGCCACTTTAATGAAAGTAAATGCATAAGGCTGCTATTCTTTACTGGAGAGAGCAGATGTTTTAAAGGAATTGTTTATGTTAACAGTTTAAATTTCCTTTATTTTGTTCCAGATTTCCTATTTTGAATAACAAGCTTAAGAAAGAACTCACTGAAGGTGTCTGGAACCTTCAGAAGCCTTCTGTTTTCACCCAATATATCTATAGTTGGTGTAACACAAATATTTATTCTGAAGTCATAGTGCAGTAAAATGGAACATTTTCCAACAGACATTGGCAGAAAATCTTTCAGTACAGAGCTAGTCTGATGCGCATTTTTAAACATTTGTGGAAATCATTCCAGGATACACAATGCTTTGTATTTCTAAAATTAAGTGCAGTTTTCTTGTCCTCACAGGAGCTGGGGAAATATGGAGTGCTTTTTTACAATGCCTGCTTCATGATCATCCCGACTCTCATTATTAGTGTCTCCACTGGAGACCTGCAACAGGTGAGTGTGGTCTATGTTATAAACATGTTGAAGGTAGGCAGGGTTAAACTATGAAGTATAGCAGGGTAGGTGGGAGTTCAATGCAGTTTTGTCTTTATGGTATTTTCAACTTATGATGGATTTCTTGGAAAGTAGCCCTGTCATAAGTTATGTCGACATAAAAGCATAACTCTCACCTCAAAGGGGATAAGAGATAGTTTATTGTGGAACCAAATATCAGTGACCATGGCTCGGGAACACAGATTCAGGTTACCCCAAATTCTCTGTTCTGGCGTGGTTAACAGTTGCCTTACATTTTTATAGTAATAGTACAAAGACAACTTTTCAAATACATTGGTGGGTACATTCAGTACAGGTCATAGCAAAGTGAGGGGCTTTCCACTATAGGTCTCAGATGCTATCTGATGACATTCTTAGCCTTTTGATTGGTGAGACTGGGTGGTTTGCAAGGGTAATACATTCTAAAAGGTTTTTATCTGTTAGTCACAGGATGTTAGGTCTGAAACAGAGGTGGGCAAGGAGTGGCTATTTAGGGGGCTAAAGATGGCCCAAGATAATGGTAATTAGACTCTCATTCCAAACTCTCTGCAATCATTGAAGTTCTAATCAATTGATCAGCCTTGCAGGAGGAAGTCCAGTTCGAAGATGGAAGGTTTTGTTTCTGGGAACTTTCTTTCACAATTCCCCCTGTTGGCCAAGCATCACATTTTGTGCGTGCAAGGGCTACATATTATTTATTCTCAGGTCGTCTTAGGAAGGCTCATTCCTAGAATCTGATGTAGATGAGGCTCAGCTGTTGGCAAGATAGCAGTCTTCAGGAGAGAGGAATAGCTAGCTGGTAGAGCCAATAAGAAAGAAACTCCTGGATCGTATGAAAACTACTAGCCAGCATCCAAGAGTATTGTTTGGCCTAGTGGAGCAAACGTAACAGATTAAGGCAACAAATATTAAAATAAAAATGAGATTGACTGTGTATCCCCTGTATTTATGACCTATTTTGTTTACATTTGGAACATGTAAACAAATCTATTGTTTTCTTTCTTTCTTTCTTTCTTTCTTTCTTTCTTTCTTTCTTTCGGATATATGAGACCATATCTTTTTTTTTTTTCTGTCATTTTGAAGCAGGGTCTTCCCGTAGCCCCAGCTATCCTGGAACTTACTATGCAGACCCGGCTGGCCTTGAACTCACAGAGATCCGCATGCCTCTGCCTCCCAAGTGCTGGGACTACAGGCATGCACCACCACACCCAGCTCAAATTTTCTAATGTTTGTTTTTTCTTTGGATAAGTTAGACCTTATAGCTAAAACCTCATGGAGTGGCTAGCTCTAACTCTAGTAGTTCTCATCTGTGGATGATGACTTCATCTGTTTTATTATATTGGCATCATACCAGATTTAGTTTGAAAAAATAAATGAAACATATTATAGAAGAAATTACACAACAATACAGTATTCTTTAAACTTTTTTCTAACAAGAATATCTTCATTTATATAACAAATACTAATAACATTAATAGAAACAAGAGCTCAAAACTGTTAGGAAATCAGAATTTTATAGGCCTTAAAGGCTTAACCAACTACTTTTTAAAAATTATTTTAATGATTAGAAATGGAAATAGGACTCCAGAAGGAGTCATGGTAGTATTATTCATTTCTTTAGTAAAATATGGATATTATTTCATTGTTTTTATCCTGGATAATTGTACTATATAGGACAGCTTAGGTGTTCATTTAATCAAGGAACATTAATACTTAAACTATAAAATATTATGAATATGTTATTAGAGTGATGTATAATTTCGATAAGAAGAATTAACCTAAATCTTTGGGTATAGGCGAGCACGCGCTGGGCTCTCAGGATCCCAGTGCGCACTCCTGGGCAGTGAAAGTTCCTCCGCTACTGAGGTCTACTCAGTCGATCCCATCCCTATTTTACCCGTATACCTTCCTCAGGATGTGAGGTCCACTGGCCACTTGGACCACACGGGAAGAGTACGAGGGACGGCAAAAGCCAGGGTGTCCGCGAGTCGGTGACGGAGGAACAGCACCCCCCGGGGAGACTGGATCACAGGATTTAGTGTTACATCTCCAGACAAGTGACTCAGCTCAGATCTCAGTGATTCAGCTCCAGTTCCAACTTTATTGGGGTAAAACTAGGACTATTTATAGTGTAGAGACAGCAGAAGAAGCCTTAGCTGATAGGTACTTTTAGGATGCCTCATTTACATAGGGCGGTGGGCTTCTATCAGGCTATCAGACAACGCCTGATTAAAAACCTGGTAGCTCCTGTGCCGGAGGGCATGTATTTGTGGCGAGCACTTTAAAAGAAGAGTCAGGGAGGATGCCAGGAAGGCACTCTGCTATGAAAGGAATCTGCAGCACATGGTTTCCGAGCTCGTGAGCTATCCGGA